ATATATATATATCCAGAAGTAAACTTTAGACCAGAAAAACTCTGGCCTGAATGTTGTAAGGCCCCTTTCAATAATCATCTGTAACTTTTACAGTTTTCTTATGGTACTGGATTCTTTTAAATCTTGATACTTTTGTTTAGCACTGTTACCTAAAGCTAATTACCTTTAATAGTTGTGGCTAATACATGATCAAATCTAGAAAAGGAATGGGAAAAATTAGGTCCAGTTTTCTGAATTCAGATTTCAGAACTGGATTGTAGTCCTCATTGGAGCCTGTGAGTAGAAGAGGCAATTCAGTACATTGGAGATGTAGCAGAACTAAGTTTGTCTGGGAAATCGGGTTCTGTTGTCCACTGTGTATAAATACCACATTGTCTTTATTTATCTGTGGTGGATGCACAGTTTGCTTCCAAGATTGAGGTATTATGAATTGCACTGCTGTATACACGGCTATGCATGCATCACTATAATATGATGTCTTTAACTCTTTTTGGGAAGATACCTAGAAGGTGAATGAGAAGTTGAATAGGATTTCTATTTTTAGTTTTTTGAGGAATCTTCTACTGATTTGCATAGTGGTTGTACTATTGTACATTCCTACCAGCAATGTAGAAAGGTTCCTTTTGCCCACATTCTTGCTAGCATTTATTATTTTTGTTTCTTGATGATAACCATTCTTTCTGGGGTAAAGTGGAATCTTAGTGTTGTTTTAATTTGCATTTCTCTAATGGCCAGCAGTGGTGAATCTCTTATCATGTATTTACTGGTCATTTATTTACTGGTACTTCTGAGAAGTATCTATTCATTTCAGTTGCTTATTTTCTCTCTAAACCCCCCCCCCACGTTTTTATTTTAATGTATTTAGTACAGTGTCTACAGGGTATCACTACACAGATTGGACTCTAGTGATCCTCCTGTTTTCAGCCTACCAAGAGCTGGGATTACAAGCCCGTATTACCACATCTCAGCCAATATGAACCCCAGTCCATGCGTCTGCCTAAGGAGGCGCTTTAATCCACTGAGCTATCTGGCTGGTCCTATTCTGTTTTTTTTTTTTTTTTTTTTTTTTTTTTTTTTTTTTGTGGAACCGGGGATTGAACTCAGGCCCTTGCGCTTGCCAGGGAAGCGCTTACTCCACTGAGCTATCTCCCCGGCCCACTGTTGTATTTTTTGAGGCAAAGTCTGACCACATAGTTCAGGTTGTCCCTAAACTCATATGTAGTCCTAAACTCACCTGTAAATCATGGTGATCCTCCTGTCTCAGCCCCGCTACCCACCCTGGTCCTGGGATTACAGGCATGCACTATCACACCTGGCTAAATTGCTCATTTTTTTTTATTCAGTCCTTTATTTGAGGTAGTCTAAACATTTTTAAATTCCTTATGGGTTCTGGTTGTTAGTCCTCTATCCAAGGAATAGTCAGCAAAGATTTTTTCCCATTTCGCAGCTTGTCTTTTCCCTCTGTATTCTATTGGTTGTTTCCTTTACTGTGCAGCTTTTTAATTTGATATGATCCCATTTGTCAGTTCTTAATGTTATTTCCTATAGAATTAGGCTTCTGTTAAAAAGTCTTTCCTAAGCCAGGTTTGGTGGTGTACACCTGTAATCCCAGCACTCAGGAGGCTGAGGCAGGAAGATCTTTGCAAGTTTGAGGCCAGCGTGGGCTACAAAGTGAGCTTAAGGCCAGCTTGAACTGCATAGCAAGATCCTGTCTCAAAAAGACCAAAGAAAGAAAAAAAGGCAAAAAAGTCTTTATCTATGCTTATGACTTGAAGAGTTTTAATATTTTATTGTTCAGCAGATTGTTCAAGTCTTTGATCCAGTTTTAGTTTGACTCATAGTAGGAGTAACTCATAGTAAGAGAGAGGGTCTAGGTTTAATCTTCTGTATGTGACAGCCAGTTCTCCCAACACCATTTTTTTGGTTTTGTTTTTATTTTAAAGGGGAAAAAAAAATTCCAAACAAGATAATAAAAAGGTAACAATGGCCCAACACCATTTATTAGAGAGCCTATTTTCTATCCATCATGTTTTGGCACTTTTGTCCAAGATCAGAACACTAGATGTGTCTGTATCCTTTGTCCTGTCCCACTGATTCACATGTCTTTTTGTGCCTGTACTCAATTTTAAAACATGTGTTTTGAAGCAGATAGATGTGTTCTTACTTGTTATTACATAAAAACCCTAGGGTAATTCTGAATTACTTTTGTTATTTCAGATTAGGTATGGTAGGAAAGTAGGTAGATAGGTAGAAGATGCTTTTAACAGTCATATTTTCTTTCTCAGGAATTTTTTGTTGCTTTGCGTCTTGTGGCGTGTGCCCAGAGTGGACTGGAGGTTTCACTGAATAGCTTGAACCTGGCTGTTCCTCCACCAAGATTTGTAAGAAATGCTTTGGATGTATATTGTATTTACTTTTTAAAAACAGATGCCACATAATTTGAAATCAGTGTTTTAAAATTTCTTCCTTTAACCTCTATGATGACTCGGCTACATGGTTTTCTTAGTGTCTAATACTGTCATTCACTTCTTGTGTATCCTTCAGTTGTTATATGTGAATATTAAGAAAGATAAATTATTTTAATCATTTTCTGTAAATTATAGCATACTGTGCACAGATTTTATACCATTTAAAAATAATGTATGGGGACCTGCCCATTAGCTCAGTTGTTTAAGTGCCTGCTTAAGTGAAGGCAGTCAGCCTCAGGATATTATGGTTTGATCCCCAGATCCACGTGCCTTACCAGACCTGCCCTTAAGGCATCCTGAGCCAGCCCCCCCACCCCCAAAAAAAAATCCTTCTAAAAATAATGTAGTAAGCTGAGTATGGTCCTGTAATCCTATCACTTGATTTTTTTTTTTTTTTTTTTTGGTTGTTGCAGAACCGGGGATTGAACTCAGGCCCTTGCGCTTGACAGGAAAGCGCTCTATTCCACTGAGCCATGTTCCCGGCCCCAATCCTAGCACTTGAGAAGCTAAGGCAGGAGGATTGCTGTGAATTTGAGGCCACCCTGAGCTACATAGTGAGTTCAAGGCCAGCCCAAGCTATATATTGAGACCCTATCTCCAAAAAAATCCCAAGCAATATGGTTTAAAGACCTTTATATACCATGCCATAAAGTCTTTTGCTTTTTAATGGCTACATAGTATTTCTTTGTTTATATTTATCACAACTTTCTGTCAATAGCCTTTGATTGCTCCTAATTTTTTATTACAAAAAAAATTCTGTAGTGGAACTGAGCATGATGGCACATGCCTGTCCCAGCACTGGGATGCTGAAGCAAGAGGATTATTGTGAGTTGAAGGCCAGCCTGGGCTATATAGTGAGATCTGGTCTCAAAAAACCAAAACCAAACAAACAAAAAGCTGTAATGAATAGCAGCCTCATATATATGTCATTTTTGTATGTGAATATATCCCCAGAAGTAGAATTGCTATTCCAGTGTTTTTCTCTTTTTAATTTTCATACATATTATCAAGTTGCTTTTCTTGTGATGTACTGGTTTACATCTCTTCTGACAATTTGTTGAAATGCCTGTTTCTCCTCACTTTTGGTAGCATTCTGCTGTCAAACTTTTAGATCCTTGTCAGAGTGGTGAAGCTGGTATGTAATTATGATTTGTTCTTTTGATTTTATGGAGTGATGCTGAATACTTACAATGAATTTACATTGCCTTTCTGTGACTGTTTAATGATAGTCCCTGTGTATTTTTGGGTTGTTTCTCATACATATTTTGGTTTCTTTCTGAATTTTTCCATTCCTAGCCATCAATCTGTGTATCCATTTACTGGTTCTACATTGTTCTAATTATTATTTAGTAAATGCTTGTATCTGATAGGGCTGGTTCACCTTTTCCCACTCTTCCTCAGAAATTTAGTAGCTCTTAATTTTGCTCTCTTTGTTTGTTTATTGTGCTGACAGTCAAACCCAGGACCATGCACATACTAGATAAGTGCTGTACCACTAGGCTATGTAAATATTAAAAGAATTTTCAAAAATATTCATCTGTGACTTCAATCAGATAAATGTAATAATTTAGGCCTACTTAATAGACAGCATGTACTTATAACTTGTAGTTTGGGCTGTTTTCCTACTCTCGTTTTCTTAAACAACATTGGGGAAAAAGCATCAGTTAATAGGACTAAATGTTTTTGTCACTGCGTGTAGTGGTGCATACCCATAATTCCAGTGCTCAGAAGGCCAAGGCAAGAAGATAACAGGTTTGAGTCCAGCCAGAGCTATATAGCAGGTTCAAGGCCAGCATGGCCCATGTAGTGAGACCTTGTCTCAAAACAAACCAACAGACAAACAAACTCAGCACCCAGTGAATCAATGTTTTTGTTAATTTATCTTATGTTAATTGTAGTAAGATTTTTTTTTTAAATTTTTTTTTTTTTTTTACATTTATTTATTGTGTGTGTGTGTGTGTGTGTGTGGCCAGTTCAGCCCACCTGGGGGCGAGACTGACTGGCATGTGGTGCTGGGGGATTGAACCGCGGTCCCTGTGCTTTGCCAAGCTTGTTCCAAGTAGGTGCTTTAGACCACCGAGCCATCTCTCCAGCCCAAGATTTCTTATGTAATACTGACATATATTTTAATGTTCCACAGTGATTTATGTGGCTAAATGAAATTGTTTTTGTTTTAGTGGAAAAAGATGGTCTAGTTAATGTAAAAAATAGTATTCTGAATACATTGAGAATACTATATTTTGTATGAATACAATTAAGTCCAGAAACTTTTTTTCTTTATTGATTAGTGGTAGTGGGATTTCAACAACTTATTTTTATTTTTAGCATGATACCAGTAATCCTTTGCTAACCAGTGGACCTGCAGCTGAGCTCCCATGGGCTGTAAAAGTAAGTAAACTTCTGTAATTACTCATTTCTTACTCTTCTTTGCTTCTTTACTACACATATCCTCTCCCCCTACTTCTGAAATGTATTGCAATCTATATTAGCACAGTTAGGGTGGGTTTGTTTTTGTTTTTTTGAGAGAGGGTCTCGCTGTGTATGTAGTTTAGGCTGGCCTCAAGGTCACTGTGATCCTCCTCCCTCAGCCTCCAGACTGCTGGATTACATGTGTATGCTGCCAAACCTGCCCGGTTAGGGAACTCTGAGGAATCTTTAGATTGTTAGTCGCATTTTGACAAAAGGTGAGGAATTAGGCTTTGAGTGGGCAGATAATAAACAGTAGTTTTTCATGCTATGGTAAGAAACTTTCAAGATTTTTGAAGATGTCTTGTTATTGACAAGAAAAAGAAATTGTGTTTTTGGCAAATTGGAGGAGTCTTGGTGTTTATTTCTAGAGCATTGATACTTAATTTTTAAAAATACATTTCTTGAATTTGAAACTACTACCAAGTTGAGAGTCATAGAATGTCACTACACTGTCTTATAGAAGATATATTTTATTGTTAGTCTAAGTGAGAAAGGAGACTAAATGTTTTTCAAAGTCCTGTCTGAAATCTTTTTGATTCTAGCCTAACTATAGAAAAACAGTATTCCTATACAAAGGTAATAGGAACACTGGACTCAAGAGTAGAATCACTTTAAAATTATTATGTACGCCTGTTTTGATTAAAATGAAATGTTTTGATTGTTAGTTTGCATGTTCTCTAGTCTTTGAAGATTTGATTTTTTAAACTGCAGTTACATTATTTTGTCATTATTAAAATTGTCATTTACCTTTTTTTATATTGTAGTCTGAAGATAAGGCCAAATATGATGCAATTTTTGACAGCTTAAGCCCAGTGAATGGATTTCTATCTGGTGATCAAGTGAAACCAGTGTTGCTCAACTCTAAGTTACCTGTGGAAATCCTTGGAAGAGTAAGATACTAAGTTTTTATTGTAATTTTTATGTATTTTAGTTTTGTATCTGCAAGGGGCACTTAAATAGTTCATTGTAAAATATATAGATCGTGTTTTAAAATTGTTATTGCATAATTTACTGTGTTCTTAATACATAAAATCATTGTTTTTTGTTATTCTCTCCCTGTACACTAAGTGTGCTTGAAGTTAGTTATATATGTTAGCCCTCCCTAAAGCAGGTCCTTATTTCCTTGTGTTATTCACTGTGACCTCTCAGTTGCTTGATCGATCGATCTTTTCTTTCTTTCTTTCTTTCTTTCTTTCTTTCTTTCTTTCTTTCTTTCTTTCTTTCTTTGTGTTTCTTTCTTTCTTTTCTCTTTTTGAGACAGGGTCGTGCTGTGTAGTTCAGGCTGGCCTTGCTCACTTTGTAGCCCATGCTGACCTCAAATTCTCAGGAATACTCTTGCCTTAGTCTTCTAGGTGCTGGGATTACAGGCATGTGCCACCATGCCCAGTCCAATTGCTGATGATTTTTAGTTTAGGCACAGCATAATTTTTTCTTGGTGGGGGGGGAGTGTCTTATTTATTTAATTTTTTTTTGTGGCACCAGGGATTGAACTCAGGACCTTGCTCTTGCCAGGCTGCTGATAATTTTTAGAAACCACCAGAATTTTATATCTGCTACCTTACTGCATGCATCGTAATATTCTTTTGTAAAGAATAATTTCATTTCTGAAATCATAAATTCTGCTAAGTTGAATTTCTCATCTTTGTGGGTCTTTTTCCTAGATGCTGGAAAGTCATCCCAATTCCTTAGCTTCACCAAGACCTTTAAATCTCAGACTTGTTTACTTTTACTTTTCCTATCTTTTTAGAAAATGTAGGGTTCACTTGTGTTAATTACATTCATACTGTTATACATCCACTGCCATTACCTATCTATGTAACTATATTTTGTAAAATTAAAACTCTTATCTTTTGTTGGAGGGGGCAAGTTCTGTGGATTGAACCTAGAGCTTTGTATATGCTAGGCAAACACTATACCAGTGAGCCACATCCTTAGCCCTTCCCCTATCTGTTGACATTACTTTGATCCTTCTAACTTGGGACTTTTTGGTCCCTATTTCTGTATCTTTATCGTTAGCTCCCTTTAGCACATTTATCTTCCATTCCTTTTGCCCGATAAAGTCATAAATTCTACTGTCTAATTTGAATTTCCCATCTTTTTAGTTCTTTTTCCTGCTTGCTTGCAAAATTTTTATTTTTTAACGTCATTAAGAAGTCTTTCAACTTAATAAGAATAATTTTTAACCTTCTTTTTATTTATTTCTTTAGTTTATTTATTTTTTGGTGGTGGTGGTGGTGGTGCTGCTGCTGCTGCTGCTGCTGCTGGATCTTTTGCATAAGATATATAATTTCTACCATTGAGTCACCCCATAGCCCTCTGAAAAACCCAGTTTGCTAAATTTAATTATGTGCCTTCTCCTTGAATGCATATAAATTACTGGGAATGCCTAGTAAAAATGATGTCATCTTAAATTCATGATTACTAACTTCCACTGGTTGTCTCCCTTCTGCCTGCCACTGTTGTACTGTTTCAAAGGTGGTTCCTCTCTGCTCTTTCAGATCTTATCTATCCTCTGTGTCCACCAGCCCTCTTAACTCCCTGCCAAATCAGAGCACATGGAATCAAGTCCTGGCTGTACTACTTCTTAGTTATATGATGCAACTCATACTATGTCGTAGTTTTCTATACTTTATTTATTTCTTTGAACTGGGAATTGAACTCAGGACCTCATGCTCACCAGGCAGTGCCATGCTGTTAAGCTACACCCCTGGCACTTCCTACACTTCAAAACAGGCACAGTTTCCAGTTTATAGGGTTGTAAGGATTGAATGTAGTAATCTGTATGATATACTTAGTATAGTGCTTATTACATGACCTTGGATGCTAGTTGCTGTGATGATGAGGGTAATGATAACTACCATTAATACTACCTCTCTTGGACAAATATAGTATAGATTAAGTGCTTAATACTGATTTAAAAGGCATTTTCTAGTATTGTGTCTTACTATTTCTCTGCAGTGTGGTATGATGTTTCTAAACTATAAATAATTTTGTCATTTTATTAAGATTAACCTTTTAGTAGTTTCCCATGATACATAGTTAAGGTAAAGCCCAGGCCTGCAAGCAGGCACAGGGATGGGGGTTTGATCTGGGGCAATGTGCTGAGACGGCAGTTGAGACTGGGTGTGGTGGTACACACCTGTAATCCCAGCTCTTGGGAGGCTTTAAACAGGCGGATCACAGTCTGATCTAGTAGTGAGACCCTGAACATACTGTAGATCCTTCCTTAAAAAAATGCACACACACACACACACACACACAAAAAAAACAGATAAAGCCTAAAGTCCTTTTAAGGTATTTAATGACTAGACACTTATTTTTATTTTTGTATCTCACCAGTATACTTTTTTTCCCTGCCCCCAAGAAAGAAGCACAGGAAATGATTTCTCACTTCTCTTTTTAAGGTTTGGGAGTTGAGTGATATTGACCATGATGGAATGCTTGACAGAGATGAATTTGCAGTTGTAAGTAACCTGTAATGTTCTTTCAATCTGAAGTATTTCAGTGGTTTTGTCATGTGAAAATTTCCCCTTTTAATTCATCTTTGAAGGAATACTAGATCAGTTCGTTGGTATGAACACTTTTTGTAGAATTTGGAGGTTTTTAGCAAACATTTTAAAATAAATGAATAACAGAAAATGTATGTTTTGGTATTCTTGGTTTTTTTTTGTTTGTTTGTTTTTTGTGAGGCTGGACTTATACTCGCTTATGTAGCCTAGTCCTGCCTCAGCTTTCTGAGTGCTGGGATTATAGGCATACATCAGCATTCTTAGCTTTCCATCCTTGCTTCATTTAACTTTCAGGTACATAGGAATATATGCTTTGGTTAATGTTGTATAAAGATGGTGGGTCTTTTGTACCTCTACTTGATGAGATACCTTGGTACTGACTTTGTTGTGGAATACTGTTGCCTCAGATGTATCCCTCAGTTTTCACATATTTTTCATTGAAAGGAAGCATGAATAATATTTCTGTTTCATCTCAAGAAGGCAGACAAATTTTGACATCTGATCATGTGAAAGACCATCTGAAGCTGTGTTTTCTTAGTAAATTGCAATTAATCTATTAATATTTTCCTTAAAGATTAGGTAAAACTCTGTTGTGAACTCATTCATGATATTTTTTTTTTTTTTGCTTTTTGAGCAGAGTCTTGCTATGTAGTTCAGGCTGATCTTGAACTTAACTATATAGCCCAGGTTGACCTTAAACTCAAGGTGATCTTCTTGCCTCACACAGGAGTGTTGGGATTATAGGTGTGAGCCACCCTACCTGGCCATTTATGATAAAGCTGTAGTCCCTCTTTCACTTTAATTCATATTTTTAGTTCATATTAACTTTACAAAATGCTGTACTTCATTGCGTCATATTCATACGTGCATATATTTTGATTATACCCTATTACCTTCCCTTATACCTCTCTTCCCTTTTTGCTCTCTTATTTGGAAATTAGTTTGTACAGATTGTCAGTGTTTTTATTTTGCTAAGGAATTGTCTTTTTCTTTTACTTTTTGTGATACTTCAGATCAAACATGTGGATGCTCTACCACTGATCTACCAGCTCTTTAAATTTGTGTGTTTGCTTTGAAACAGAGATCTTGCTGGCCTCCAACTAGAAAATTTTTCTGCCTCAGCCTCCTAAGTAGCTGGGATTGTAGGCATATGCCACCTTTTTAGGCAAGAGTTTATCATTTCTATTTCTAATTGCATTGATTTGGTTCTTGTCTTTTCTTTCTTTCTTTTTTTTTCCCCTGTATTTTAGGAAAGGGTCTACAGGGTGTTCAGGGTCTCACTACTAGATCCAGCCATAGTGATCTGCCTGTTTAGTGATCTGCCAGCCTCCCAAGCGCTGGGATTACAGGCGTGTGCCAACACGCTCAGTCTAGTCTTTATTTTCTAGGACCTTTAGATTCATCATTGTTTTGTTTTGTTTTTTAAATATGGGCTTACTCTGTGTTTCTGATGTCGATATTTACAGCTATAAACTTCCCTCTTAGGACTTTTATTGTATCTTTGTGGTATGTGGTACTGATATTTTTGCTTAATTCTAGCAACTAATTTTTTCCTTGATTTGTGACCCATTGATCATTCAAGAGTGTATTGTTTGTGTGCCTTGCTACCCTCCTCACCCCCCAGGTGCACTGAGACAGCAATTAAGACTGGGCCTGGTGGCATGGGCCTATAATCCCAGCACTTGAGAAGCTGTAAACAGGAGGATCCCTGTAAGTCTTATCTGTGTAGTGAGACTGTAGGCCCTGTACTAAATACAAAAAAAAAAAAAAAAAAAAAAAGAGTATATTGTTTAATCCTCATTTGTTATGTATTATTTCTATGGTTTTTGCCATTGATTTTATGTTTAGTTATTCTTTGATCTGATAATACACATGGGATGATTTCAGTTCCTTCGTGTTTATTAAAGATGCTATGGACTAGTATGTAGTGTATTTTGGAGAAAGTTCTGTGTGCTACTGGAAGAATGTGTGTTCTGTTGTTGGGTGAAATACTCTACAGATTCTATTAAGTTCATGTGTTTGAAGATGTGGTTTTGTCTAGTTGATTTATTTGTGATAGAAGGGTATTGAGGTTCACCATTATAGTTGTATTGATGTTTATCTGATCTTTTTGTGTTCAGTACTATCTGTTTTATGAAATTGGGTGTGCCAGTATTTGGTGTATATATACTTAAAATTGTTATCTGTTCCTGTTGAATTGTTCCTTAACCAATATGTAGTGACCTTCTTTGCCTCTTCTAATCAGTTAAAGTCTGCTTTGTCTGAATATAGAATAGCTATTCTGACTTGCTTTGAGGCTCTTGTTGCTTGAAATACTGTTTACCATCCTTTGATTGTAATCTGTGAATTTCTTTTTGATTAAATGTGCTTCCTGTATGGAGGATTGGACTTGGGTTTTGATCCAGTCTTCCAATCTCTTTTATCTTTTGATTTAGTTCTTTTTCTTTTTCTCTTTTTTTTTCTTTCTTCCTCCTCCTCCCCCTCCTCCTCCTTTTTGTGTGTTGAGGGTTGAGTATTGAATAGAATGGACTTTTTGCTTGTATGGCGATTTCTTTAGTGTCTGCTTTTCAGTGATCGGATCTTTGCGTTGTGGTATTTACCTCAACCTACTCAGTTTAATAGGATCAGACCTGGTTGCTCTGTTGCAGGGAGAGATTCCTTACTGGTTATGTCATCAGGAACAGGTCAGTCATATATTATGTACATTAAAAACAGTAATTACCATTTCACCCTTCTATCAGTGCCACATACAGACTGTACTTTTAATAGGTTTCTGGAATGTAGGGAGATGGTGGATGGAAGAAGGAAGAGAAAAAGAAGTTAGTAAGAAGAGAATGAGAGAAGAAAAATATCAGTAGATGGGAAACAGGAGATCTGAGTCTGTTAAAATTATTTTTAGTGCTGGAGAAAAGGGCTAACATTGAGAGATTCGAGAGTGGGAAAGGAAGAAGGGATGATGCCAAGGTAGGAAATTGTAGTTAGGGAATGGGGAAAGCTGTGAGGTATCAGAACCAGGTACTGTGTTGGTAATTAGCTTATGTTTGGATCACCTGTACAGTTTTGGTGACGATTATTTTCACTTTCCCATGAAAAGAACTATTTAAGTTAAAGTACTGGTTCTTATTCCCCTTTACACATGAACAGACTCCTCCTTTGTATTTACTAGATGAAAGGAAGCACCCAAGAGAGGGAAGATACAGGGATAAGAAAAAAGGAAGAGGAAAAACAACAGCAAAAAACTTGAAAACCAAAATAATACTACACACAGTTTTAAGAACAGAAAATCAAAGAGACCTCACATTCTCATTTGTGTTGCAGTCTGAGTTCAGTTTAGGTCTCTGAGCCATTCATCCCCTACCCCCATTATTTGATCAGTTGCTTACATGTGAGTGAGGAGGCTTTCTGATCTGGAGAGCCCTCTGGGCCCACCTTCCAGTTGCTCTGGGCATGGTCTTTGCCTGTCTCAAGATTCTATATCTTTCTTAGTTTGGGGAAGAAAGGGAGCAATGTAATTGGCTCAACACCTAGTTCTTCATGTGCTGCCAAAGCAAGTAACCAATTACTATAATAGTAATACCTCTGTCACTACTGATAATAGCAAAGAAATCAGCAACAGTTATAAAGGCAGAGACAAACTGGATGTTGGTATACTTTAAGAACCAATAAAACTACTACAAAGCTCCCTTAGCAACAGGAATAAAGCTATCACCAATATAGACAAAGAGAAAAACCAAGTGTTGATGTATAGTGAATCTCTAATTTCAACAACTATATAGTAACATTAACAACAGAAAAGAATTCAGTGACGTAGTGAACTGAATATCTAAAAATGAAGAAAGGTTAATAGGAGTACTCATAAAAGCAGAAGAAATGGGGCCGGGGAGATGGCTCAGTGGAATAAGCGCTTCCCTGGCAAGTGCAAGGGCCTGAGTTCAATCCCCGGTTCTGCAAAAAAAAAAAAAAAAAGCGGAAGAAATGACAAGGGAAAAATGAAAGAAGTAAACTTTGAAAGTAAATATAAGGTACATGAGAGAAAAGTTAGATGAAAGATCCAATTAAAGAATAAAATAAAATCAGATAAAAGTAATGGAAAAGAACAAAAATAAGATTAAAACAACAACAACGAAAAAAACCACCCAAAAAACAACAAAGGAAAAGAGAAATGAGTAAAAAATATTTCCTCCATGTTTTTTTTTTTTCCCTAGGGCTTGCAGTATTGAAATGTCCCAGGTATGGGGGAGGGATAGTGTACTAAGTTCTCTTTTGTTTCCACATTTTTTGGTGTGTTAATGCTGAGCCTTCCTGACCTTTCTTGGTGGGTGGAGTGAGGCCGGGGTGTGTTGTTTACCTTTGGGCTGTGTTCACTCCACCCACTCCCAATGTTCTTGAATCTCTGTGTGCCCCAGGTCACTGCTTTCTCTAGCCTTTAGATATAGATATGTAGATATATAGATACTCCAGGCTCTTACAACAGTCCTGAGGCATATTGACAGATAGGGCAAGCAAGCAGACCACTGAGCTCTGTGCAGCAGGACAGAGCAATCTTCTGGACTTAATGCCAGTACTTTCAAACTCAGCCCCCTCCAGAAACCACATGACCAACCTGACCTCCCACCCCAGAGGTTGGGACCAACATGTCCTTTCCAGCTCACATCTGCTTCCCAAACTTCTCAGAGAATCTGTGCCTAGGGTCACACCTCTCCACAATGTCTCTTGTGGCCCTAGTCACTGTGGTAGGGTGATCTCAGAAACCCTGCAGTGTAGACTTGTTCTCTGGCTTCTGATTCCCAGAGTAGCTCAGACTTAAAGAAGCCCTTCTCAGAATGTGTCCTGATTAAACATGTTCCTGCTGGCTTGAACCATGTGTGGTAAATCTGTGACTGCCTCATGCTGCCCAATGGAACAGTCATGCATGTCCCATCAGTAGTAGTTCAGAGCTGCCCAGCAGAAGACAC